CTCTGAGCGCCTGGGCAAGTGAGTTATCCACAGGTTCCCTCTGATTGATTCCCTAGTGGAGATGAAGGAACTGGCCCCGAAGACCTTCTACCAGCTCCAGAACACCTTGAACCAATTTCATCCAGAACATCCGCTTTATTTGATCCTAAAATAAGTTACAAGTTACAAGTTCTTGCCATTCACTAAAAAATTGTATGAATTTCAATTTCATCTAAACTTTCAGGTGTAAAAAAAATGTATTAAAATGACATTTGAAAAGCACTTATATTTTCAACAGCTCATAAGAAACTTAGTGAAACAGTTGAACTGATACTATGCTGCAAAGTGATTTTCTACATTATCTTTTTTTTTTCTTTCTGCAAAGCAATATCAACAATTTACAAATAGCAAATCATTCCAGCTGGAACAGCTGACATTTCAGAAAAACTCAACTTAAACTCAAATCAGCTTAAGTAACACTGATCCACAACCCAAATGTAGGATGACTGGGGTTTTCTCCAGTTGGCTCAAGACTGTAATTAAGGCCCCATACCCCGAAAAATTTCCATTTCAAAGAATCGGGCTAAGAAAAAAATACAGCTGCTGCCACTACCAAATAGTCAAATGTTGGTAAAGGAGTCAAACAAAACAAAAACTATTTTACCCACTTTTATACCTCCATAAACACACACACACACACACACACACACACACACACACACTCTTATCAGTGTTAAACCTTTCCTAATCCAAATAAACAGAAATGAAGACCAAAGGTGTTAGTGATGCAATTTATACTTATCTTACCTAATATCCTGCTGAATTTGGGTTAAATTAAAAACCTTATTTTAAGTTTTTCATGGGTCATGCTGCTCCCCTGGCCTTCATGTATTTATAGTGGCAGCCTTGGTTTTGTGTTCTGTTTTGTTTTGTTTTGAAAAGACCATTTGAAACCATATAGGGGGACACAGAGCTGAGAAAACTCGTATTTCCCTCCAATAAAAGATCCCCTGGGAACACTTGAAAGCTTTTCCAAACCAATTCACGGTTCGGAAAATACAATCAAGAGGACTGTTCCACTGGAATCCGCAGAACCACGCTTGCACGACTGGGCCGTGAATCTCAGCACACTGACTTAGTCAGGAGACCAACAACTTTTCCTTCCAGGTGGCAACTCAATCCGAAAACCAATCCCTCGAGTTGGAAGGCTAACAAACCCACAGTGTTCAAATCCAAAGTTCTCGGCTTTTAAATCTGAGCTCTCACACACACAAAAACGGGGCTGCACATGGCAAGACTTCATCTCCAATATGTTCCTAGCCCTTACTAACAACTCGATTGTAAAAGGGGCTCTTTCACTCTCACAAAACGAGGACAGCAAAAGGCAAGGCAACCGCCTGGGGGTTGGGGGATCGCACGCAGAGGCGGCCCGAGTCTGGTGTGGTTTGATATCGTTTTGTTGCGCTGGAAACTAGCATCTGGGTGTAACTTGTGCACAGAGCGCAGGGCTGGCGCTTGGAATCCAGCGCGGTTTTCTGGAAGCCCCAGCACAGGATGAATGAGCGGCAACTCTGCCAACTGCATGTTTACTCGCATCCTCACGTGGCACCGCGACGGGACCGCTGCGCCCCGACCGCGCGGGGCGCGCCGGGGAACCTGAAAACTTTTACTTGGCAAACTAGCGGAGCCAGAAGCCGGCTCGGAGGCAGAGTCTCTAGCCTTCCCCCGCCGGGCGCCCCAGCCCAGCCCGCCGCC